GAATAAGCCACTAGTCATCTAATTTTTTTCCTTGTCTTTTTGCTCCATCTTCCATGGCACCAGTATTCATTTTCAGTTCTACATGGTGGCCCCAGGATTTTCTTTTATGTAGAGTGCAGTTCTGTATCTCATATTATCTCAGCAATTCATGCAGAGGAAGAAAATGGCTACTTCCCTGTGGTCTCCCTTACTTGAACTGTGTTATAGGTTCACCCTTAAATTGAATATCAAGGCCATGGTGATGAGATGAATTGATTGGATTAAGCCTGTTCAGGACCACTTCAACAGCATTGCCACTATACTGTTGGGAGAAGTAAACTTCTCCAAGGGTCAATCAGGCTACTTTTGATTGAAGAAGGAGGAAATAGGTGTTTCACATTCTAAAGGCCACTACTAAAACTTCCCATATAATTTATACAAAGACAGATTAGCTGTCAAATAACCTCTTCCAACATGTCTCATGGACAGTGAAGTAATATCCTTGTAGTGTCCTTTCTCCTTCCCACTTGATTCATCCTTCCCAGAAAGGACTCTTGGATTATCTTCCTGAGTTTTCCATACTCTTTCTCTCCAATCTTCTACTTCTCTTGTCCACACAAGGCTCTCCAACCTCCCAGCCTCTACCAATTTTAAGATGCACATCAAATCCCTATTTTATTTACCCACACAGAAGCATTTGGTGGTCTATCAGGTAGAACCTCAGTGACCCATGATAACTGGACTCTACACCATTAACTAAAGAAAACTCTTTTTCCTTTTCTTGAAAAGATAGGAACTAGTTCTTGTAAACCACGATTGTCTAATCTTTTCTTCTTGGAAAAGAGGAAATTTATTTTTACCCACTGCTGGAAAAATATTCTCTTTTCATCAAAATGAGCAGAATGATTCTTTAAAATGCTAAAAGAAAAAGGTAAAATTAATTTTAGTTTAACACTTATATTCTGTTATAATACTCCTAAAGTATATCTTTGCTGAGAAGAGATGCAAAGAGAAGAGAAGGCTATGAGTTAGTTATAAATTCATGCTAATCTACTCAATTTTTCTATTTTCAGATAACTTAAAGGGTAGGATGATAGTAATAATAGCAAACACACATATAGCATCTACTGTGTGTCAGGCAGTGTTCAAACATTTAATAATTTTTTTGATTCTCACAATAGCTCTATGAGATATGTAATATTATTACCTACATTTTAAATAGAACTATGTCACAGAGTAGCTAAGCAACTTGCCCAAGGGACATAACTAACAGGTGGCGGAGCTGGGTTGTGAACCCAGGCGGTTTGGCTTCAGAATCCAGGTTTTTACTTTTAACCCTATACTACTGTGGATGATTATGTTTTCTGAGTTGGTGGTTAACTAAAAAGTGACTTAGATGACATGATGAAATATAAGGTCAGAAAGATGATTTATTAATTTTATTCTTTTTAGATTAGATTAGGACCCAGAAAAGTCTATTCAGGGAGAGTATGAGACTTTTGTCTACTTCTGTAATTCTAGGGGATGCCAACTAGCTATTGTGCCCCACTCCATATGTGAAAGCTTATTAGTTATCTGTTTTATATATTGTAGTGTGTATATGTCAATACCAATTAGGACAAATCTGAATCTTTTCACTTAAACTGCTGTCAAGCCAGGTCTACCCCATGTTATCCATACACAGTTTCTTTTGCTCCCAAATCAGGACTTTACCTTTATTCTTATTTTGTTATACTGTTTGAAACCATCATGTGTTAGAGTACTCCTGAATCTCAATTTTGTCATTTAATATTTTAACCATTCATTTCAGATACATATATATTTCATATATATATCTACATACATTTCAGATATATATATATATATATGCACATCTTCCATGTTATTATAAAAAATCTTTTATAAGAAAGAATGAAAGACCAAGCCCTGTATGGAATAACCATAATCACTATGGGTTTATCTAGTTTTGAGTTTTATTTAATGTTTCCTCTCTATTCTTAAGATTTCTGATTCCTTAGCATAAAAGCTTTTTGAAGTACTTTTAAATATTTCAATAGACGTGTTACTCTTAACCTTTTTTATGATGGTTTCTATAGATAATGACTGTTTTCATGAATATTTAACCAAAGAAATGTAATAAGCTGAGGTAATTCTCTGCCTAGTTTAACATCTATTTTATATGGTGATTCATATGGCATCTTTTATTTTATGGTAGTTAAATATTTAGTCTATTAAAATAAGGTAAAAATTTTAAAGAACATTCATTTCAAAGTGGTTAGGATTCTCTTTTTAAAAAATTAATTAATCAATTTTTGGCTGCATTGGGTCTTCATTGATGCATGGGGGCTTTCTCCGGTTGCGGCGAGCGGGGGCTACTCTTCGTTGCAGTGCATGGACTTCTCATTGCAGTGGCTTCTCTTGTTGTGGAGCACGGGCTCTAGAGCGCAGGCTCAGTAGCTGTGGCGCACAGGCTTAGCTGCTCCACGGCATGTGGGATCTTCGCGGACCAGAGCTCAAACCCGCATCCCCTGCATTGGCAGGCGGATTCTTAACCAGTGTGCCACTAGGGAAGTCCAGGATACTCTTAGATAATAAAATATATGTCCCTTTTTATTGTGATAATAAAGAGCATACCTGTTTAGCATGTGGACTGCAGGTTAAACATGCTTTATTGTGTCTCTAGTAAAGTATTCTGGATCAAATAGAAGATATTGATGATGATAAGTAGTTTCTCTTTCTTTTCTTTTCTTTTTTTTTAAGAGATGTGAAAGAATATGAAGACCAAGTTTTATTATTTGGAGCTTGAAAACTTAGCAGCAAAACAAACTATTTGCATATAATGTAGTACAATGAGCATTTGTTCATAAAAGACTCCCAAAGTCTTAAAACTTCATATATAAACCAGAGTGAAATCCACTAGGTTGGGCTTTCCTGGTGGCACAGCGGTTGAGAATCTGCCTGCTAATGCAGGGGACACAGGTTCGAGCCCTAGTCTGGGAGGATCCCACATGCCGCGGAGCAACTAGGCCCATGAGCCATGACTACTGAGCCTGCGCGTCTGGAGCATGTGCTCCACAACAAGAGAGGCCACGATAGTGAGAGGCCCGCGCACGGCGATGAAGAATGGCCCCCGCTGGCTGCAACTAGAGAAAGCCCTCGCACAGAAATGAAGACCCAACACACCCAAAAAAAAAAAAAAATCCATTATGTAAATGATTTAAAGATGTCCAGAGTAGCTTATTGAGAACTGCTAGATACTCTCACCTGCATGACCAAATCATAAACAAGCTTATGCAAAACCAAGTTCTGGATAACTCACTCTTATGGCCCCCCAATAACAAGCTCAGATAAGGCAGATCAAAGCTAAGAGATAAGCAACTGCCCAAGAAACATAGGTTGCATGAAATCGCCTTGCAAAATCTTGGGTGCCAACAGTTAATCCAACTCCAGTGAAAATACATATCATTCCAGTGGTAATATATGCACAGCAGCACCTTCGAGGAAGTGCACTACCCACTGAGGAAATTTTTTTGCAGTGTGGGCATTTTGCCAGTGTTGAACCTCAGTTCCATCCACAAGAACATGTTTCCACAGTGCCCACACATGATCCTTGTACCTTCTGGTTGGACTGGCAATGCAGGTTGAGCTGGCTGTTCTTCAGAAATAAGCATTACTAGGCCAAGGTTAATTACGTGTCTACAGGTGGGTCTTGGACATCCTATTTGCCATGATGTGTCCTTATAAATGAGGAGACAATTACGAGGGCATCTAACATACTTCTTCCTTGTTGGGGGATTTTCGACTGGCCTAGCATCATTGCAAACCGTGCACCTAACCACAAGCTGGTGAAGCTTGCCATCCAGACTGATGAGAGATTGGCACACATGGCACTTTATTACTGGAATACCACTGGTGTCTGGGCTGGCGATGGCTGTGTATGGAGGTGGGAGTTCTGTTCTGGGGCTGCTTTCTTGTAAGTATGGTGGGGACATGGGAGTGACATTTCTTGAATGGGATGCGGAGAGCAGAGGCAAACGTTCGTCCACCCCATCAGCAGTCGTGACTGCAGCAGTGATGGCGGGGCTGGCAGGGAGAGGCTGAGTCTAGTAGTTTCTCTTTCTTAAATTCAGTTTCATATTTATTATTAGATTTGAAATTGAGAGGTTTTAAAATAATGCCTTATTTTCAGTGTAGGAGATGTTGATCTGAAGAATGGAATTTGAAACTTGGTTCTGTTAATTACATGAATCGAATGCTCAAAGCTTTATCTTTATGTCTAGTAAAGTAATAATAAGAATACCTATCTTGCTGGTTTTTAAGGCGTTTCAATGAGATAGTATATGTTAAATTATAATGGTATTTCTTGCTTGGCAAATGGTAGGGAGCTTTTTAAAAAACCTTCTTCACTAGTACAACCATAACCTTATTAGGAGACTAGTGTAGGTAAGTGGTCTATTAACTTTATGAGGGGGTAGAAGGCTCACAAAACATATTTTGTTAATATTTCAAAATATGGATAATTCAGAAACTTCAAACATTGTACTGTTGCATGAAATGACCTTCACAGGTCGTTTAGTAAATAGTACTTGAAGTATGCTTGGGTTGCAAGGAATGAAATGGGTGACATTAGTTTAGCACAACATATCCTGTGGAATCAGCGTGTAACTTTTATTTTCTCCTTTAGCTTTGAGTGAAGAATGCAATTTCAGTTGAGCACAGAGTTGGAGATTCAGACAACTAGGGTTTTATTACCAGCTCCATCAATGACATACAGTGTGCCATTAGGGAAAAATTATTTTTCTGAACATCAGAATTCTCTTCTTTAAAATGGAAACGAATTTGGTGGCTTGGAAAATAATGTTGGATTTGGCAAATACAGGTACATTCAATATTCTAGAACACCTTTGATTTAATGAGACAATGAAATTCATGCTGTGTCTATAATGCCAAGAAATAGCAAATAGATATAGTTGTAAATAGTGATGATGATGGTGGTGATGATGATGATGATAGTAATAAAAAATAAACAACTACATAGGAAGTTACATCAGCCAGTGTAGCCATATTGATGCAGCATGATGTGCTATGTTGTGAATGTGGAAGGGCAAAATCACCTGTGCCCTTTAAGAGCATTGCCAGCCAAATTAGCCCTCTCCAGTGTGATCTGAACTGGCATCACTATACAAGAACACCGACCTGAGTGCTCACGTTTGATCTTGGTGATTGTGTGCCCTATCATTCAGTATTTGTATGATTGTGTAAGCACAGGTGTATGTTAGCATATTTGTAGTTCTCCAAACTGTAGATCAGGGGTTGTATATAAAACAAAGCAGGAAGAGTCGGTTGACATAAGACAAGGAGAGGAACTATTTTCATCAACAAAGTGATTCTAAACCAGTCTTCAAACCCATCAGGAGATTCTGTTAAGAGCTAAGAATCAGGAAGACAGCCAGAAGGTGAGTAAGGTGGATAGTCAGACGCAATAGGGAGCAGATTAACTGTTGTCTGATGTTCCTGTGGATGTACTAGGGTGAGAAAGATATGAATGTGAAGACAAGTACAATTAACCTCGAACGGGGAAAGAGACTCTTCAAAGTCTTTAACTAAAAGGGAAAGGGCTTTTAATTAGGTCCCTGGTGACTCACAGTTGTGTAGGACTAATCAGGGTGAGGCTGGATCTAGTTTTAACATCCTGAGCAGAAAGGAACACAGCATTGGCCACCAGAAAATGTCAGTGAATGACAAGTATGGTAACATTTCTGATTTTTAATGTCTTTGGTTTATTCATGTGTCCTATAAACAGGGATTTACATGATTTTAACCCATTAGATAGAGCCATATTTAAGAACATGTATTTATTATTAAATAAATCTGGAAGATGTAAATAAGCAAAAATCAAAGAGCAATTTGGAGAGAAAAAACAATGAGATATCACAAATTAAATGCAATAAATTTCAAGTCAGAAAAGAAATAATAAAACAGAAAAAAAAGCTTTAAAAGATTCCTGCTATGCACAAAAAGGAAATTTTGTTTGTTAGTTTGTTTTGTAAATAATGGTAAATATAATTGGATAGACTTTTTTGTTGTTGCTGTTCGTAAGGATGATTTATTGGAAGCATAGTTCACAAAAAAATCTCACAAAATTCAGACAATTTAAACTGAATATAAAAATAATTCATTTTGCAATTATCTGTTGAGTAACCACTATGTACCTGTCATTATTCTAGGCACTAGAGTAACAAATAGAACATAAACATCAACTCCATCCTTATGGGTCTTATAATAGTGAGAGAGTTTTTGACTGTAAATAAATTTAAGAATCAATAAAATAACAAACAAACAAGAGCAGAAAGGAAATCTGCAAACCTAGAACTATACTTGTGAAGAAAAACAAAGCATTTCTGTGTTAAATTTTTTAATAAATTAGCCATCCAGGAAAAGGTTAATGGATTTAGTCATTCATATTTTTACCAATTAACTACGAAGAGGAATTCTGGAAAGATAGCAACATGCTCCCTCATTCCTGAATCCTTCTCCTTCCCAACTTAAAACCACTCTCAAATGAAATCCCTCAAGTGTCCCCTGAATGTTCCAAGGGAGAAAGCAAGCACCAGATTCCATTATCCTAGGTGCTCAGGAAGAGCCAAGAAACCAAATATTCCTAATTAACATTGACCTTATTGTTATTTTTTTTACTTACAAACACCCATCAGTGAAGAATACAATGGCCAGTAGTACAGTTAGGTACCACTACCTTGATTGGTGCTAAGGTACCAGCAGTTTTACCCATAGTTACTTCTGTACCATCATTGCAAAAGTCAACACATTTCTTCCATGGGGCCCAAAAAGTGATGTAATTAAAAAATATTACTCAATATTTTGAATATTTCAGTGCCAGTTGTGCTTGTTGCCAAAAATTCACATAAAACAAGCTCTTCCCGGTTGCTTATTTAGTATCCATAACAGATGAATACAAGCAAATGAGCAAGTCCAGCCATGTCTGTAGATTCATCCATTTGTAAGGAAAAAGTACAGTTGTGCAGATGAGATATTATCTCATCTCCATGTTTTCAAGGAAAATTTTAATTTGACAAGATACTCTAATACCGCAAATTGGCACTGATGTGAATGCCTTTATTTTTCATCAGCAAGCATTGAGCAACGTCAGTGGTCCAAAGTGGACCCTAGCTATTTTGTGTTCTTCTCTAGCCAATGGAATATGATAACATTCCCTGTAAGATATTTCAGTGGCTTCTCCAAGTCTAGTTTGAAAAACTGTAAGAAATAGTTTTGTCTGCTAAAGACTTTAGCCCAACTATGTTTTAAATATTTAATTATTTATTTTTTAAACTTTTGAATGCTTGGTCTCAAAATAACATTGCAACTTAACTGGCACTACAAAACTGTTTTAAAATATTCTGTTTTAAACGACACAATAAAAAAATTATTAGCATTTATAAGGTGAGGAAAGTAGCATTTTGTCACAGTTTTGTTTCTTGGTTACAGTTTCACCAGGTTCCTTAGAGAAGATTTCTCTCTTCCATTAGTCAAATGACCCTCTAATATGAGAGTTTAATTTTTCTCAGCATTTTTAGTTGTAGATGGTGCATCTATGGGTTGAGAAAATGAGTCTTCTTTTTTTAAGCCAATAATCATTCCTCAAATATATATTTCCTCTATTTGAAAATAAATGATTATATTCTAAAATAGTAATATTATTACTAAAAATATTATCTTTAGATAATTAAAAGATTAGAACTTTTTTAAAATTTAAAATTATACAAATCTAGACAACTTCTACTTCTTTTTGTGTTTCCATGTAGCTAAAAGGAGAATTTCAGAGTAAAATTTATTGGATGATAATGAGTTTACAAAGATTAAAAGAAGTATAATCAAGACTTCCCTGGCAGTCCAGTGGTTAAGTTTCTGCGCTTCCACTGCAGGGGGCGCAGGTTCCATCCCTGGTCAGGGAACTAAGATCCCGCATGCCTCGTGGTGCAGCACAAAACAAAACTACATCCATGTTATGACTTCCATAAAAAGAAGTATAATCAGTGATAGTAATAGAATCGTGTAAGTACTAATTAAAAATTAAGTTAATTTATGAAAATTCAAATATTTATATGCTATAGATTTCAGAAAGCATAGGAATATTCCACACAAGCACATATTCCATTAGCAGTAAAAACACATGTCCTGCATAACATGTAGTTTCTGGAAAGATGTACTGCACACTTATTCATGAGGGAAAGTAAAAGGGCAAAAATATCTCCATATTATATAGCATGGAAGTAGTTTGGCTTAGCAGAACCCTTGAAATTGTCTTGGGAACTTCTAGGGGTCCTTCAACCACACTTTGAGAACAATTGTCCTACTGGAAAAAAGGGAGTGGCTCATGAGTACATTAAGCTGAATTATAGAACAATACAAAAAAGTTACAATTTTCACACTTTCTCTTTGATTAAAAATTTAAAATTCAAATTACATTTATATTAATAAATTCAAAGAAATCTTCTTCCAAGGAAAATTTTAATCCACGTATCTCTGTTTCTATATACATTAGTATGTCTGTGTGTCTGATTTATAAGAAAATTCTGATTGTTTAATATAAGAGTTGACTTTAACCATAATAAGAACGTAACTTTAATTTCTTTGCAAAGAAGAGTAAATGACAACTTTATGAAAATGATTTCATTACGTGAAATCTATGTCTGCTATAGACAGGAATTCTAAAATATTTTCTTAGGCAGCATCAATAGCTCTGCAAGCACCACATGCTAAGAACATTAATCCCTCAATTCAAAAAATTATTTCCTTAGGACATACAAATACAAATGTGTCAAGGTAATAGAGTCAGAATTTTAAAAATGGCACTTTTAGGTGCAATGATAATGGTCACTGAATTGTCAAGTTGTGAATGCTGTGGTCTGGAAGGAAACTTAATGGTTATCTAGTTCAATTACCCATCAAATGCTTAATATACAGCTTCCCTGACAAGTTCAGTCTCTGCTTAAATGCCTCTAAATTAATATAGAAAAAGTACAATTCTTTAGTCTGTCATTTTTATGTGGCACTTTTGCTGGAAGTCCTTCTTTCTATAGAACAGACATTGGGTTTTTTATGCCCACTTGCCTACTAGTTTGATCCTTGAGACTGAGAAGACATTCTGATTGAGTCATTAACTATTTATGCAATCTTTGAAAGTCACCTAAGTGATCTAACTCCAGTCTTTCATAGGAAATGCTTGCATTTCCTAAGGTTTCTTTAGGTTGTTTCTGCTCTCAAAATGGACAGTGTTTTCTCTCCACACACGAGTCCATAGCATGTGTGATCTTTCGTGATCTTCTAATCTTTGGAATCCCAATTTCCTTTTCTCAAACTTGTTAAAAATTCTACCTACTCTTTTTTGTGAGTTATTTGAGAACAGCAAAAAAGGTGCTAAGCTGTGAATACTCTACATACCAGCAATTAAAACAACACCTGGTTTAAATGAAATATTAACATTATGGGAAAATGAATAAAGGGAAGTAATAAGTAGCATTTGCAACAGTTTAGTTAGGCAAAAGCACGCACACATGTATTGCTATATTAAATAATAGAATTTGGGGCATTTGTGTCTTTAGTGTGGTAGAAAAGGTCACAATAGATTGATGCTTCATCAGATAACAACTGTATACTCTAGAGAAAACACATATACACACACATGCACACAGACATACCAACACGCAGTCTTACTTAATGACTCTTGGAAAGTGAATAAGAGCAGACATATATTAGAGGTGAGTTGAAATTTGGAAGAAAGGGCTGTCATGGGCTGAGCTTCCTATTTTGATGACCTGAGCTTGAGGCTAGCCAGAGCGTCAGGTACAAAGTAGTGAAGGGCAGCTAAAGAAGCAGAGGACAGAGAACAGGACAACCATGGCCTCTAGAGTGTGGGGAAGAAGTCCCGAAGAGGAAAAAGCCAAAGAAGAGGAATTCTAAATTGTATATACACTCTACCCAAATCTCTGATTGACCCTGGGACCAAGCATACATGGAGCAAAGTCAAGGTTAGCTGCCCCTAAGGATAAAAGGACAGAACTGAGATCTGCAATACCACCCACTGCAGGTGAAACAGAATTTGCAGTTGGATTCTAATCAATTTAACTGTTTACTAAAAACATTTTAAGAATAAGGGTCAAAAACATACCAAATTTGGTGAAAGACTTAATTTTACATCTTCAAGAAGTTTAGTGAACCACAAGTAGAATAAGTACAAGTGACATGCCTAGCCACATGTGAATGAATCTGCTTGTAAATCAAAGAGAAAGAGAGAATACTGAAAGCAGTTAGGAAAAAGAAATGATTTGAAAGATTGTAGTTTTCACACCAGATACAATGAAGATCAGAAGACCATGGATCAAATCTCTGAAGTATGGAAAGGAAAAAAATTTGTTAAGCCAAAATTCTACTACAG